CCCGGAGAGCCCCCCTCCCCTCCCCCCTCCGCCCCCCAGAAATGTTGCAAACTTTTGCAGCCCGTTCTCGGGTTGCGGGAGGAGAGGGGGGCGGGGGAGGCGGCAGGAGGGTTGACAGCCGGCGGGCTCAGCCCCTGGCTTTGATTTTTCTGCAAAGAGAGGAGGAAAGCCGCGTAGCCCAAATTAAATACGCTCCCCCAAAACACGGAGAACCCGAGAGTGGGGGCCCGGGAAAGAAACTTTTAAAGCGGCAGTGTCCTTTTAAGAAGGAAAAAAAAATTCGTTTATGGCCACCCTCCTCCCGCTTTACCTTTTCTCCTCTTGACAGTTTCGGCCCCGGCTGCCTCAGACAGGGTGTGTTTTCGGTCCCCCGCAGAGCTGAGGGGGTACGGGAGGAGTGAGCGACCTGGGAAGCCCCGGGGGGTGGCGAGGGGGCGCTCCTGGATCAGGGGGCGACGGGGGCACCTTCTCTGGAACAAGGGCTCCATGGAGGAAGGGGGGTGCGGGCGCGTGAGGCGCTCGCCAAGTTGTCTGGCGGGCGCGGCGAGGGGAGATCCGCAAGTTTGCAGACCCGGGGTTCGCAGCCCGGCGCCCAGGCTGGCGGGGGGCGTGTGCGCGCTAGCGCGCGGAGGGCGGTGGTGCTGTGGGGCGCTCCACGCGCATTCGGAGTGAGCGTCTGCAAAAGCAAACAAGCAGGAACAGAAAGCTCGAAATGCACCCAAACTTATTTCTGCCCTGGGAATCCTTCCCTCTCTGAGGTTCAAGCGTTTCTGCAAGAACCTGGGAATGGTCAGCAAGAATTGAATGCTGGTTGGATAGTGCGAGAGATGTCCCCCCCCCCCCCCGAGCGATTTTTACACTTCATTTTGGAGCGTATGTGCGGGGAGGGGGGGCGGGGGACTCCATTGCCCCCTCCTTGCTTTTTCCTAGTTAAAGTCGAGTGTTGGGGAAAGCTCACTCGCTCTCTTTCTTAAAGGTGTCGGAAGCTTATGTGGGGGTTTTTCTTGGAGGTGGGGGATTATTTATTTGATTGCGCCTGGAGTTTGCAAAGAACAGGAGGAAGCTATGGCTTTAATTACTGTTGTAAATAATGTATAAATCACGCCTGTCACTCCGGAGGAAGCAGGCTCGCGCGAGCAGCCCAAGGGCTGGGGATCAGGAGGATCTCCAGCCCGGGCTTGGGCACTGGCCCAGCGCGCCCCCTCCTCTTGCCACTCGGCTTCTGGCGGCGATTGGGGAGGGCTGGAGAGAGGCAAGTGGGGGCCCGGGAGCCGCTCCCTTCCTCTCGATGTTATAGTTGGAGGTAGGAATATGGCTGATCATGTGCTGGCTGTTTTACAGTATTCCTCTCCCCCCCCCCTTAGCCACACCCCCTGTCCGGGAGCTTTCCCATTCACGGAATTCGAGTACAGTAAAAGCCATCAGGATGACACACACGAAAAACATTTAATTAAAGGCGATTTCCGAGGAGTGAACACGCCGAACCGCGGTTTCAGCGGGAGGGGGGGGGGGGCAGCAAGGGACGGGAAGGGAGGGAGGGGGATCAGGGCTGGGGGCCGGGTCCTGCCGCCAGCTCGGTGAGTTTGTGTGTGGAGAGCTTTTGGCTGCAAAGAGTATATTTAGACCCTGAGACGGTGGATTTGGAATGCGAGCGGGTTATGTAACAGGGTTAATCAGAAACACTGGAGAAAATCCCCTTCATGTGTTTCTGAGTTTTTTTTTTTTTTTTTTAAAGGGGGGGACATAGTATATAGGAAGCCACACTAATTTCTGATTTGTGCTGTCACCCCCGCCCCCCTTAACCTCGCCCTCCCGTGTGTTATTAGCATCTTCAGGTGTCATTCTTGCCAGAAGGTGTTCTTGCGAGAGATCAGGGTGGCAGCTGCAGAACCGACTAACAAATCCGTAACTTGCTGTTCTTGCAAATTATATAAGGCTGGGGCATTCAGTACCACTAGCCCCCTAGGCTTAGCAAAAAGGGGAGAGGGACAAAGTAGGGGTGGGATGCATCCTGCACAGCTGACCTGTTGACCTTTGTCCCCTTGCCCCCTAGAGGGTCACCCTCCACTCACTCTTCTTTGAACCAACCCCCTTGTCCATCTCTCCAGAGATTTACTAGGGGGAGGGAGAAGAGGTAAGGCCCAAACCCTCAACTCACATCCTGCACGCAGGCACTAGGTTATATAACAGTCTGAATGGAAAAAGGAAGGTCAGAGATGGAGGCATCCTTTAGTGAACACAGCAGTAGTAATAGCTTCCAGAGATTATGTGCATTTGCAGACTTTAACCTCAGATGTAGTGTCTGCTCCTCAGGGATCCCAGTCTTTGTGTGTGTGACCTAGGGAGAAAAAGAATGTGTAAGTATGCCTGGTAGATGAGAGTGATTTGAAAATGGGAAATGTTTGGGTTTTCAGATGATGTAATGGAGTTGGCAGAATATGCAAGTCGGCTCCCAGAGTGTAAGCAGCAAGAAAATTGGAGCTGGCATCCAGTATTAATGTTGCATAAATTACAATATCGGAAAGAAATTAACCTACACACTAGGTGATTACGCCTTTTTAATACTTAAAACAGAAAGGCACACAACTCAAAAGGAAAAGCAAACATCATCACCTTATAATTAGCATTTTCAACCTCAAGGAGGATTGAATGGAGTTCTTGGCATTGGGTGACATGGGAAGCTTTTGGATTTGGGAGATGCTTTCCAGAGAAGTAGCAGGGTTAGCCTCCAGCCAGCCAGTGTTTGCAGTCCACAGAAATTGTGGTCTGGATTCTCGTGACATTGAGGTGACCTCATGAGACATTACCAGGTAGACTTGAAGCTGTTGCTGAATGCCAAACTCCTGGGAGTCCCCGCGTGAACGGGCTTCGTACCCTCGGTGCCTGCGCTTCCGGAATCAGATGTGTGACTTTGTAATCTGAAAGGTGGACCTTCCCCTGTCCTTAAAACTAGCAGGGAATGTTCGCAGTTGTAATGAAACTGTCCCGTTTTCTAGGGGGTACTGATGATGGCTGGTGTCATTCAGTACCATCTTTACAACCCAACGAAAGGCAAAAAAGAAAGCCAAGAGGCAACATGGGAAGTAAGAATGAAGCAGGGGAAAAAAAAAACCACAGCGAATCTTTAATTCAACAAGGCTTTCAGGGACTTCAGGGAGCCATAAGCATTGTGACATAACTGTTGTTAAAAACCCTTTTCCAGAATCTCATTATTATATGCATGCCAGAAGCTTACATATTTCACTTTCCTAAAGTTATCCTCACAGGGCTGTGTGGCTCGCGCTTGGTTTGGAACACCAGTGTTACAGGTTGAAGGCTTTTAGGGCAGGCCGACCTAAGGGAAAAATCGAAACCAAAAGATGGGATTAACACTGAAAAGCTCAGTTGGGTTGAGATTGAACCCCCTGGAGGCTCAGCTTAGATTGATTTAAAATCAGTTAACAAGGCCTGTAGTTTATTTGTAGCCCTGAGGACTTCTAGAACCACGTAAACCAAAGTGCTTGGCCTTCACGTCCCCCTTTCTGTCTTGGCTGATTCACTTTCAGGTAGGTGTCCTTCTTGCCTGGTAGTTTATAGCCTTTTCTAGACATTGATTCTCAGATCAACTTTTCTGACACGGACCAGGCTCTCCACAGTGACCAAGTGATGCCCCATAGTTTGAAAGAGCTACTGGCTGGCATAAAATCCTTTGCCGGAGGGATGGAATAATTGTTTTTTAAACTAAGGGACTTTAATTTTCCGGTAAATTGCTCATAAAAACATTTATAGTTATACCCTTAAAAAATGTACTGGAATAGTTTTAGAAAATGCATTTGGTGATAGTTATGATAACCTTTCCTGTTGCTTCCCCCCTTCTTTCTTAAAAAGAATTGAATTATTAATCCAGAAGTCAAATCCTGAGTGGCCAAAAACCGTGTATAGCAGACTCTTTTTATGTTAGCCACCTGCTGGAATTTTCCAGAACCTACCAGCATCATGAGGAGCCTTGGCTTTTTCTAGAAAATGCCTCCATTTCCAAAACTGAAATACAGAGTCTGCGTGGAAGGCCCCTCCCCTGAGACCCTTAAGCTCCTGTTTTCAAGGCAGCAGAGGTGGTGGTGGGGGTCGGGGGTCAGCACACACTGCTAGTTCCACACCAGGCTCCTAGGTGGGATTGCAGGGAGGTTCGAGAATATTCATTGTTGTGCCTCCAGGGGAAACGTTCTGAGGATCTGGGGGGACAGCTGAATTGCTTTTGGAAGCAAACCGACCCCTGTCCAGAGCTAACCGTTGGAATGCAAGTGAGACAAGCCCATGGCTACTTCTCCTTGGCCAACACTCTTGTCACTTCTGACTGGAGATGCACACTTTTCTCCACGTGTTCCCATTTTTGCTTCCAGAAAGTTGGGGTGTGTTGTTGGAAGGGCAGACTTGAGTTGGATGTCACTGAAAATTCTGTTTGTGTGGTACAGTCTCTTACGGCGTAGGCCACTTTTTCTGAGAGTGCTGCTCCTCTCTGCCCTCATCCATGGTCTTAGTCTACTTGGTGAATTGTGCTTCTTAGGTTACATATGTACTTACGTGTTTGTAGAAGCAAAATACATAATGACATTTCAGGTGTCTGGGGAAAAATTATAATGTGACTGCCCTTGTGCCAGAGACTAAAATTTTGTAGAAAACCCAGCTCTCTTCATATGACATAACCTGCTGCTTAAGCTCTTTGTCTTCCGTGAGCCATTGTTCAGGTACTCTGAGGTAGATGTCGTCCACTCCCTCAGGGAGATTCCTGACCAATCATCCTAGATTAGTGATGGATTTTTCCAGAGCAACAACAGTCTGCTTTGAAAGGCCTTAAGGTACCAGAGTGAACCCCAACCTAGAATGTGGAATATCTTTCTGAATATGAAGACTGTCATCCTCATTGAGAATTTAGGAACAGTCTCTCTCTCTCTCTGTCTCTTTTTCTCTGTATTGTTCTCTCTTCTATCATACAAAGAAATGTTTTGGTTTTTTTGCGGGGGGGATTGTGTGTGTGTGTGCGGTGTGTGGTGTGTGTGTGTGAGAGTCATAATGGGAAGTGTTAGTTTGGAAACGAGCTTTTCAATTTTTCACCCACCTTACTAAACCGTATGTTAAGAGAAATAAAAGCGAATCATTTTGAATTAATGCTTTAAAAAAATTCTCCAGATAATCAGTGTTCAAGTTTCGATTAGTATACAGTAAATCATGATTTTTCTATAAGAGTGCTAAGGCATTACTGGTGAATTCGTTTTTCTGGCTAACAGTAGATTAACCGGATCTTTCCTTTTTCTCTTTGAATATGTTTCTTTTAAATGTACTGGTCCCCTTTCCTACCCTAGGAAAGAACATGGGGAATGTAATCGAATCTTTCTTTGAGGTTTGAGGATCTTACAGTGCCATAGGGTCACTGTTCTGAGGATGAATTCTGATTGTACATTATAGAACTGTGAATGGGGACAGTGTCAGAGATTGGACTAAATCTGCCCTGATCCCAGCTTGGAAATTGTTTTCTTTTTCTGTTAAATCCTCAATATCAGTATGTTTTGTTATTTGCCTTTCTTGGTCTCTAACTTGCAAGGAGCAAAACGGAAATTCACTTTAATTAGTTGATTCTGGTTAATTGAGGCTTTTACTTTCTAGGAAAATTTCAACCTGAATCTAGAGCCTTAACGCTTTCCCTGCAGTTAACAGAGGATGTAAAATCATTCTTAGATGTTTAGGAAGACTGTTGTATTTACAAATAAGTTATGTAATGTATTACCATAGCATTGTGTAACTTCACCCCCCAGGTAATAATGGTAGATAGAAATATCGGCTAATTTTGCCTCTTCCTTAGATATATTGAGAGGGTATCATAAATCCTAAAAACTAGGAAATTCTAGGGTTGGAGGGAAGACTTTCAAGAATATCAATAAAGAACATTTAAATTCCCCCCAAAGGAAATTCTCCTTTAAAGCTTGGGCCTTTGTTCACTGGACCACTATGGAAGGCATGCCCAGGATGGCACCATCAGAGGCTGACTTTCTCAGGGCCGTCCCATGTGATTTAATGGTAGTCTGTGGTTATCTTCTGATATCCTTGTTGTCACAGCATTGCAAATTCATCTTAGGGGTCGTGGTGTTCTTTTGTGACAGCCCAGTTATTATTATTATTATTGTTGTTGTTTTGTTTTTGGTGTAAGGACATCAAGGAAATTGTCTAGAGAAGTCCGTAGAAGAGGGGAATGTAGCGTGATGAGGAATAAATGAGCCACGTCTCGTGGCTTGCTTTTTGCTCCCGCTTTTATGTGCCAACATGAAAAGGAATTACAGGTAACAGTTCCCTTGTGTTGGTGGAAGAACAGTTGTTTTTTGGTTTTTTGTCTTTTTTCTTTTTTTCCTTTCTTCCCCTACCAGATGTTTATGGCCCTCATTGACATGTCATTATTACAGACTGTCTTATCACAGTATGTCCTGTGGCACATTGACAATGGCGTGGCCCTGTGGTTTCCTGGTGATTGTCTCGTCCACAGAACTGAGGCCCTGGTGGCCAGCTGCAGAGCCCTCTCCAGGGTCCACCACCAGTTGAGAGTACAGGTCTCCCACACCCTTGAAGGTGCCGGAGGACTGCAGGCCAGGCCAGGGAGTTTCTGTACCAGCGCTGTTCTCCCCGAAGCTCAATCAGAGGCTGGAACAGAGTAGGAATGCGTGTGGCATAGAGGATTTATAATCTCCCAGCTTCAAATCATCTCTAGCAATGTTACTGGGCATTTGCGTTTTGGTTGTGAACTATCTGAAAGTTTTTTGAAATAATCAGGAAGTTCCCCCATCCACGAACCGACCATCATAGATGAAACTCGTCTGGGGTGCAAGGAAGGGTGCTACTTAGTACAGGATCCTCAAGCCTGTGAAAGAGGCAGCGCACTGTTAAAAATACCTAGCTTACTTCGGGGGAGGATTTGGCTGAATACTGATGAAGTTTATGAAATATGAATGTAGTGAAGTTGCTGTACGTAAGTGGTAGGCGTGTGTGAAAGAAGTAAGAAGAAATAAAATTGTGTATAAATGACACTCTGAAACTTGATGGAATTGTATACGTGACAGGAATGGTGACGTTTGGGTCCGTGCTTAATGGGGGAAAATAAACTGGCTTAAAAATCTATATGTCAGACTAGATGTGGGGCTAAAAATTACAGAATATAAAATTATTGGACTTATGAGCAAAGAGCGCTACCAAGGATAAATAGGCAGATTGCAAAGGATAGAGGTGAAACAGAATGGGGGGAAAATGAGGGGCCAACACTTGAATTTATAATGAGCTATGGTAATCACTGCTTTAAATAATCCAGACTATTAACTACTGTGCTGCTAGGTAGAGAATGAGTTATAGCCAAACAAAAGGCATAAATATGAATATTAGGTTGTGTGGGAGAAATCCTCTTGATCCCCAAAGCATAAATGCATGTACTGAGAAGCAAAGCTGCACACGATGTAATTTTTTTCTGTCTTGTCCTGATTAATTGACAGCCAACTGTATGCCTCTTTCCTGAAGGTGACTTTACAATCTCCAGACACAGACATTTCTCTCAGAAGTGGAGTGAAGGAAGGAGAACCACAAGCTAAAGTGTGTTTCACTGGGTGAAGTATTTTGGGGGAGAGATAAGAAGGGTACAGTAGGGGAATGGAACAGTGCATACAGGGATGAAGAATGCCTGTTTGGGGCTGGGGAGTGGGGGCTGTGAACGAGGAAGGGAATCCCTAGAGGGAAGGAGACTTCGGTGCAAAGGAAAATGAAATTAGCATTGACTCTGAAATGGCGGGGAATGTGACTTTCTAATTTTAAATTATCTTTAACAAGGGCAATGAAAAGAGGAAAAGTTGACACTTTGAGAAGTTATGACGAACTTGTCGAGAATGCCAATTGACAAAGGCAGGTAAGGGAATACTTGGAAACACAGAACAAGAACAGTTCTGAAGGGCATGATGATCTGCTTCCTAGTGTGTTAAGGGAATTGGCGGGCATGTTTATTGACTCTTCCAATTAGTTTTAAAGAAACCTGAAGAAATGGACAAAGATGGAGAGAAGACAACCAGATGTGATTCTGCCCTTCCAGAAGCAGAGAAGCTTCTCTCATCCCATGTGATCGATGCCAGGCCTGGGGAAGACTGTCTGTATAGCAGTTAATGGATTTTCAACATACAAATCACAGAAGAAACAAGGGTATATTTAGCAAATCTGAAAACTCTTCAATAAACTGTATTGCTTTTCATTTTCACTGTACAGTCCATGAAGCCAGTGTATGGTAAGAAGGCCGTGGTAAGGATACAGCGGTGTACTCCCAGGAACGTTTGTGTGGTGGGGATATTATGTCTGAAAGGACAGGGCATCTGGGAGGATGAACTGCCCGTAGCTCTCAATTGTCTGGGTAATGAAGCATTGGAAAGCAAAGGCAAGGGAAACACTTTGATAATCAAAAATGATTCTTCTTTTAGTGATCATATTAGTTGACCAGTGAGGACAAGTGTGAAGGTGCGAGTTGCGTTTTACCCTCTCCAGCACTTGTGGCCCACTTCTGACGAGCACGTGGATGCAGAAAGCGGGAACCCTGACAATTTCTGGAGACCAGCCCGTTAACCTGGAAGATGTAAAATTTCAAAATTTCACAGCGTGAAGGAGGAAGGTTGAAGATTAGTGAGGCTCTCAAATTTCTTGAGGCCCTACAGAGAATCAGTAGAAGAACTGATGCGACGCTGAGAGGCTCTAGCAAGTTTCCTAATCTCGAGCTCGAGGGTGTGTGCTGGGTGTGTGGTGCTTGCTCATGATGCTGGCACTGGTCATGCTTTATTAGCCCAAAGCCTGTTAGAGCCAGAAGGGGCCTTATGAATCATCCAGCCTGGCCTTCCTCCTTTACACTGACGCCCACAGAGGTCTAATAATGCATTCGAGGTCCCATTCCTAGTAAGTAGCAAGGGATACGGGTCTTCTACTTCCGGTGTTCCTTCCACTCATGTGCTGTGCCGAGATGTTCAGAAATTCCAGTAAGGTACAGAATCAAGTTCCTGCCCTGCCAGGAGAGCCCCCTGAGGATATTACAGTGTGTACACAAGTTCATCCAGCAGGAGGTGGTTGACGTGTGTGAAAGTCCGTGCACGTTATGTTGGTTGTGCATCAGTAATGGAACATTATCAATAATGATTATGTTTTCCAATCCCACTGGGCATTTTTATTATTGTAGCAAAATTAGCCAGTGAACTGGTGGTGGTATTAATAGAGCCATTCTAAAGCATAGTGAAGATAGTGCTGGTGTCTCACGCGCTGCTGAATCGGTAGAACGTAAAATAGAGGCTCTGGAGGGGAGCATCTGGTCTTTGGTCCCGGCCTGGGCAGTGATGCTTGCTGGAGCTGGACACAGCCAGAGGGTGGAGTGGGGGAGGCTGGCTCTTGGCAGCTGCCTGCTTTTCCCAAGGCAGAGGGTGTAAGGCAAGTGCCTTGTACAGAGATGCTCACCAGCAGTTCCACCCATGGAATACTATGTAGCCAGTAAAAATCCTGTTGTAGTAGAAAAATCTCTCTTGATAGGGGAAAATGTCATCTGTTAGTGAAAAGTAATAACCTTCATAGCAGTGTGCACAGAATGACATCATTTTTGTAAAAAACTATAGTGTGTGTGTGTATTAATATGGACCCACGTACACCTTAATGATGAAATGATAAAATGGTTATTTCTGGTGTGAGTTTTTTTTCTTTGTGCTCTTCTGTATTTTTTACTTTCCTGCCTTATACGTGTATTACTTTTGTAACTAGAAAAAAATAAATCTTACTTTTTTTTTCTCCAAAAAGATTGTTTGTATGTTGTGAAACTGGGGGTACTTTGAAGAAACTAATTCTGAACTTAGTATGTTACATAGAATTTCTTGATGTTTTAGGATGGGCCAAGTTTACTGGCCCAAAGAGCAGTACCTCTGACAGTCACATTCAGCCAGGATTGTCAGGAAAACAAGGGTCATTCAGCTTGAATTTGAAAAAGAAATGTCCAATATTGGAATTTCTTGCCCCTCTAGGGCAGTGTCTTTTAAGTGTTTATACCGTGTCCTACAATGAGAGGAAATAATACGTTGAGAGGCAGTGCCCGCGTGCACACACACACACACACATGCGTGCAATAAACTTTTCATGTAAAACATTTATCCTTTACCTGGGATGCACTGTTATTTTTGCTCTATTATTTAAAGACAAGATCCAAATCACGAGCCACCAAATTGGTTTCATGATCTATTTATGGGCTGCCTCTCACAATTTTAAAAACCCTGTCCTGGGCATGAGGGAGAAGCAGCCTTTTCGTGAGCCGTGGCCTGGCAGTCGGAGGCATGGAGTGTTTCCACAGTAACTGATGTTGGACTCCAGGTGTTACTCATTATGATTTCAGGGAGGAGGTGGGGGAGGGAAAAATAATGTAAATACTTATTATTTGTCATGTGGTATCTTCATGCCACTTTTAGCACATGCTCGTTAATATCCTATTACATTTAGACATGTATCCGCCAAGCCTGGCTTGGAATGTAGATTCTGGGATCCCCTTTGCTTGGATTTGATGTCACTGAGGGAAAGCCTGAGGGTGGCATTCTTTCATTCCACGAAGATTTGCTGAGCACCTTGTGTGTGAAAAAGCAGCACATGAGAGAGGGCAGATCCCCGCCTTCCTGGATCTTGCATGCTAGGGGTGGTATCTCTCAGTGAAGCCCAAGGTCTGGGTTACTCCTGATGATTCTCTTCTACATGTGTCTTGGCCTTGGCCTTCTTTAGTCCTGTTCCTCATACATGCGTTCACCCTTCCCCTCTTCTTCCCAACCCCGTCTTCCATCTTCTGCCCCTATCTCTCTTTGCTTCTTGAAAGCCTGCAATCGTTTTCGATAAGGCTAGGAGATAAGACTCACCCTCTCCCTCCTGCAGTTCTCGTGACCCCTGTCTTCCACAGTTGTCAGTCATGTGGACCTGGCTCATGCAGTAAGCATGCAACCTCTTTCTTTGCCAGGTTCCTTTCTGTTATCTTACAGTGTTACTTCCCAGAGAGGTAACTAGTCTCCCCAAGAAGACCAGCACCATGGTTTATTCTTTCACTCCTGCACAGTGCTTTGCAAAAAGTAAGTACCCCATCAACTGTGCAGAGAATCTGTCACATTGCCCTGCCTCGCCGGCCACTTGTTCAGTAGATTGAGCTCAGTGCTTCCCGACTCAGCAAGCACAGCTTCTGCTTGCTTCAGCTTCCAGCTGGGCCTTGGGTTTGGACCCGGCTGCCCCTGTTTGTCCCATTTCTGTCTCTCTTGGAACCACCAGTCCTCCCCTCAGTGGCAGGTTCAGGCCTGCTCTGGTCTTGAGCAACTCAGATGAAGGCCGGACGTGTTGGGAAACAGCATGCATGCTTATTACAAGCATGCTGGGAGTGAGACAGACGTGGGCCAGAGGCCCAGGTATGCTGGGTGCTAGCCGTGTGACTTTAGGTAAGTGCATTCACCGCTCAGTCTGTTTCTTTCATCGCTTGAAAACTGGAGATGTTTATGATGCTGGCTTCCCAAGGTGGTTGAGGACCACCTGTGCTTAGGCATGTGCGGCCCCTCGCAGGATGCCCGGCACGCCTGGTGTGTGATGGTGGTGATAATGGAGCACATACAGAAACAGGGGCCCTCTGGCCTCCTCTCACCTATCTCTTCTTCAGGTGTCTGACTCCCTTTCCTTAGATCATTCCTCCTCGGTTCTGATGGGTTGCTCTATGAAATAAACAAGAGTACGCGAAGGCCTCGAAAACCTTACTGCTAGTTCCCTTTCCTGACTGGCTCTGCCCCCCTCACTCAGCTCAACCACCGCAGATTGGATGCTTATGAGGATGAATCCCTGAAGCTCAACCCCATTAGGCACTTGGGCTCCCTGAGCTGACACCCCACAGCCCCCGCTGAATCAGAAGAGGGCCCCTGTCTGCCTGTCCCCTCTCCCCACCCTTGCTGTCCCTTCCACACTGCCGGCTGCCTCCTCCAGCCACTGAGGCCACAGCAGCGCCCTCCTTCCCACTGTGCTCCGGAGCTCTCTCACGCCTCATTTCTCAGCAACCCGTCATCATTCCCTGCCTTCCCGTCCCCTTCACTCACTTTCTCCTCCCTGCCAAAAAATTACATTGGAGAAGCTTGTCTGTGAGGGTTCCATTCAACTTGTTCTGCATTAATGCCCCACTACGGTGACCCACTGCTGAGTCTTTCACTTGTAACGTAATCTAATAATTTACATGCACTTTGCAAGCAATACTGTCAGAGACTCACAACCTGCTCGAAATTGCTCTGCTGTTACAGTAGCTGAGCTGATGAGAGAGAGCAGTGTGAGAAAGAGTAGTTACAGGTACCACCATGGGGTTGGGTAAACCTGGGGAAATAACGTTAGCATAAGGGGAGGATGTGCTGATGGATTAGAATATCCTTTCTTAGACAATCAGTTAAACTTGCTGAGGGTCCTGTATTGATTTTGGCTTATACTTGGACTAGCATAGGTCAAAGTATAGTAGGTAGAAGCATTAGCAAGGAAGAGGAAGTGAACCTAAAGTGGAAACTCGTCTTTCTTGGATGTGAAAATGTTTTTGTTTCGATATATTACATGACTTTTACAGAGTTAATTGACATTCTGATTAGGTTGTTTTATTTCTTTGTTCGATGTTGGAAGCCAGTTCTAATAACGCAGTAGCCATGAAAATAGAGTAATGCCATAGTGATAGTGCCATTGTAAAGCAAATTACACCATTAATTACGCATCTATTTGGTCTAATTTGTATTGTGATAGTGTGGGTAATACACACGCACATACAGGCGTAGAGTGGCTGGATTTTAAGAAACAGACTCTAGCTGAGAAGCCCCAATCCTTTAATATTGAATAGTTAGTGAAAATAAGCCATTGTTTAGTGAAAAAGTTCGTCCTTCTATGTTTAAATGTAAATGTAGATGTCTGTATATACACGCACATACACACATGTCCATACACATATATACACAGGCACACACATATATCGTGCCCGTCAGGCAGATCCAGAAAATCCGTGATGACTGTGGCATAAAAATGCTTGCCTTCTTTTTGCCTTACAGCAAGTTGGCTGACCTGATGGGGAGGGATGTTAGTTATGGCAGGCGAGGTCAATATGGGATCTAGGACAGGGTTTGCAAACAAGGCTTCGTCTATTTGTTTCAGCCTCTTGGTCCTTATTACCATGTCTGAGAACCTCTATTCATTGATATT